CTTAAGAAATTTGTCAATATATTGAAATATTGTGAGAAAATATATTTGTTTTATTATTTTTTAATAAAACAGACATATTAAAGTACATCGTATTGAAATTACAGCATTTTAGAACAAACCGTGTGCACTGAGGGTTAAATTTACTTTGATCTTTCTAATTATCCAGCTACTAATAGTACTTATTAGCGAAAGTTGTTAATATATTAAAATATTGTGAGAGGATATATTTGTTTTAATATTTGATATTATTTTAGATATTTTACAGTACATAATATTAAAATTTCAGCACCGTAGAACATACCGTGTGCACTGAGGATAAAATTTACTTTGATCTTTCTATTTATATAACTCCTAATGGACTTATGATACTTATTTGAGAAATTTGTTATTATATTAAAATATTGTGAGAAAATATATCTATTTTAGTATTTGTTATTAAAATAGACACACTAGAGTACATTACATTAAAATTACAGCATTCTAGAACAAACCGTGTGCATTGAGGGTTAAATTTACTTTGATCTATCTAATTACACAGCTATTAATAGTACTTATTTGAGAAATTCGTTAATATTTTTAAATATTGTGAGAAAATATATTTGTTTTAGTATTTGTTATCAAAATAGACTTATTAAAGTATGTAATATTAAAATTGCAGCAATCTAGAACAAACCGTGTGCACTGAGGGTTGTATTTACTTTGATCTTTCTATTTATCTAACTCCTATAATGGACTTATGGTACTTATTTGAGAAATTTGGTAATATATTGAAATTTTGTGAAAGAATATATTTGTTTTAGTATTTGTTATTAAAGAAGACATATTAAAGTACATCATATTAAAATTACAGCATTCTAGAACAAACCGTGTGCACTAAGGGTTAAATTTACTTTGGTCTTTCTATTTTTATACTTATGGTACTTATTTAAGAAATTTCTTAATATCTCAAAATATTGTGAGAAGATATATGTGTTTCAGTATTTGTTACAAAAGTAGATTTTTTTAAACAGAACCTATTAGAATTTTACCATTCTAAGACAACCCTTGTGCACTGAGGGTAATATTTACCCTGTCTGTTCAATTCAGCTTTGTTCGGTATGATAACCGAGAAACTTTTTTATGATTTTTCCAAATATATCAAGATTTTATGAGAAGATTGATCAAATTTAGTATTGGATTTTCTACACTAGAAATACTAAAAAATAATATATTAAAATTTAAGCATTTCTGGACACTTTTATCCCACTAAGGGCTACATTGACTGTGGCATTTCAATTTAAGCATGATTGTATAAAAAACTAGGTACTGTTTTAAGAAATTTGAAAATATTTCAAGATTTTATAAAAAAAATTATCAAATTTAGTATTGGTTTCCACAGTAGACATACTAGGAAATAATATATTGAAATTTAGGCATTGCTGGACAACTAAAGCTCACTGAGGGCTATGTTCACTGTGGCATTTCAATTTAAGCATGATTATATAAAAAACTAGGCACTTTCAAAAGAAATATTTCAAGATTTTATAACAAAAGTTATCAATTTTAGTATTCGTTTTCACACTAAACCTACTAAGAAAAAAATATGGAAATTCATGCATTGTTGGACAACTCTTGCGCACTAAGGGCTATATTCACTGTGGCATTTCAATGTAAGCATGATTGTATGAACAATTAGGCAGTTTTTGTTGAAATTTGTTAAGATTTTATAGGACGACATATCAATTTTAGTATTTGTTATCATAGTAGATATATTAAAATATAACATGTTAGAATTTTGGCATTCTGGAGCAACTCTTGTGCACTGAGGGTAATATTTTACTTTGGTGTTTACACAAACAATTTTAGTATTAGTAGTTATTGCTATAACTTTAATTTAATATATTAATATTGCTACATATTGCTATATTACGTTATATTAGATAATATGTGGTTATATATATATATATATATAATATATATATTTATTCATTTATTTATTTATAATAATTGAATAAACCAACACGATTACGAAATTTGCTCGAGTAACATTTTTAAGTAAAAGATGCAATCGTTAGAAAGTTGCTAATTTGTGTATGATTTAATTTAATTAGAATTTTGCATATTTGCCAAAAAAAACTATATAGTGTTAGATAATATATATATATATATATATATATATATATATTATTAATTTGGAAATATAAACAAACAACACTTTTTTTTGCACTATTTTATTAAATAATAATTTTCACAAACGTTTCGAGACTAGATTTGTCTCATCATCAGTGTGTTATAATTTAAAATCTAAAATATGAAAACTTAAATTAGCATTGTGTGTATCCCTTACAAGTCGTTCAATATACTGTCTTCTGCCCCACCAACGATCGTCGGAGTCCGAATTCTCTATTCAATCTCAAGTGGTTAGTCACGCAAAATCAAATTTGCAAAAAAAACTTACTAGTTTTGATACTAGATATACTAGATATACTAGAAATTAGATATACTAGAGGTTAATATCTCTCTTTTTAATTTTCTTTTAATTCAAATGCGTCAACATTAATTTTAATATTTGTCATTATAATAAACAAATTAAAGTATGAAATAATATTAAACAAAAAATATTATTATTTCAGTATATTTTATCCAATACGGAAAATTATATAATTTTAGTTATTTAACAGTATAAAATTATATAAAAATATATATTTACGTTGCTGTAATAAAAATCCAGGAAATTGATTGATTGAAAAGTCATCGAATATTATTACATACAACATTACGCTCTGATAAACAATAAAAATATACTTTGCATATTGTTTATAACATATATTATAATAATTGTATTTATATATAACCTATGAGAAGACATTTTGCCTATTGGCATGTTAAAATAAAATTAAGATAAATATTTAGATTCAGATATTTTTTAAAATTAGTTCTGGTACTTTTAGACTGCCAAAAATTTAATGTGATATTCTTTAATATGTCTACTATGATAGCAAATACTAAAATTGATAATTGTCCTTAGAATTTTGAGATATTTACAATTTTATGAAAAAAAGTACTTGTACGTCGTATGAATAATACTTGTACTCGAAGGAAAAATTTTTGAAAAAAATATTAAAATAGTTGTGTGTATTTTAAAATGTTGAAATTTTGATATATTATACTATAATATGTGTACTTTGACAACAAATACTAAAATTGATAAGTTGTCCTTAAAAATTTTGAGTTATTTACAATTTTATGAAAAAAGTACTTCCACGTCGTATGAATAATACTTGTAATCCAAAAAGCAAATTTTAAAAAATATTATAATATTATCTTTAAAATTTTATTCAGCATCTATAAACAATAATATATCAATAAAAACCTCATTAAATTCCAAATATTTTTTCTTACTTAAAATATAATTAATTTTGAAAAATTTATGCAAAATTGTAGTAACAAACATAAAAAAACAAATTAATACATACAAACTACTTTTTGAACACTTTCTTGGAATCTTAAATATTTTTAAAATTTTAAAGAATGCCTATAAACTGTAATACATCATTAACAAGCTAATAAAATACTGCACAACTTGTGTTAGCATAAATGAAACCAATTTTAACAAAAAAAAATTTGCAAAAATTTTGTCTCAGACACAAAGAGACAAATTAATACATACATGAATTTTGTAAATATCTTTAAAATTTTAGAGAGTGTCTATTAACTATAATACATCATTAAAAAGCTAATAAAATTCTACACAATTCGTGTTAGTTTAAATTTAATCGATTTTAACAAAATTTTGCAAAATTTTGCAATTTTTTTTACTCAAACTGAAAAGTACATATTGATAAATTCTAGATCCTAAGTGAACAAATTGCTATGTTCCTATACAATATTACTACAAAATATATTTACTATATCACATTCCAAAGCAAAATGTATTATTTAACACCTCATTCATCTAATTATTCATGACTAATAAATACAGTTATTCAGTTTTTTTTCTATGTATATCCTCGATTGTTATTCTAACAGTATCTCTCTTGTTGAATAAAGTAAAAGTAATTCACTTCCCATATATAAAATAACAAAACAGACTGAAGAAAGAAGTAATATGGAAAAAGATCACGCAATTTCTTCAGAGTGAATTAAACTTTTGTTTTTAACGAAATGGAAACGTTTGGACTTGTCCCATTGTAGTATATGTAGCAACAAAAGTGCTGGGGTGCATTTGTTAATTCTCGGTATACTCTAATATTGCATTAAACTGTCATATAGAGCTCGATACTTTGATACTACTAAGAGTAAATACTCTATCTTGTGTAACTTCTGAACCATTTGATTAATGTGAATGTTGTATAGGAGAAAAATATTTCAAATTTAATTATCAGCAGATTTTTTTAATCATATAAAACTCTAGAACATCTCTGTATACTCTAAAATTGCATTAAACGCTCATATAGAGCTCGATACTTCAGTACTACTAAGAGTAAATACTCTATCTTTTGTAACTTTTAAACCATTCGGTTAATATGAATGATGTTTTTAGAAAATTTGTTGAAAATTAAATTATATACAATATTGTCTAATATAAAACAAACCTGAAATTAAAATTTTATTATGTTTTTATTTTGCAAAAAGAAAGTTCTTGCAAACGCTCCTTTTTTACGCCTGGTACAAGTTACAAATAATTTGCTGAAATGTAAATTTGAAAGCAGTCGAATCAGGCTTTAAAAAATTATATATATATATATATATATATATATATACATATATATAAAATTTACTATGCACATATTTATCTAGTGTCAACACTTTTTGGTTTTGTTAAGAACCTTCATAAACATATCGGTTAATATTATTATTTATTAAAATACTACAATATTTAGTTCTAAAATACATAGGTTGCTATAAATCTTTGAGAAGCTTAAAGTAATTAGTAATATTAATTAGTAATATTTTTATGACACAGCAGTTTTAGTAATATGTCTTTATACCACTATTTTGTAAAAGTTAGGTTCAAGCAACTAAATATTATTTTGATGAGTTCCATAATTATGCAATAAGTTAACGATTTCCATGTGCCCTTTTTTGTAGGCGATTTTCATTGGGGTCTTGTTATTGAGATCTACTACATTAGTGTTTGCACCTTTGTCCATCAATGCTTTGACTATATTTTTGTGACCATAATAGGCGGCAATGTGCAGAGAAGTCCTATTTTCTTTATTAATAGCATTGACATCAGCGCCTTTATTAAGCAGAAACTGCACTACTTCCAAATGACCATTTTGAGATGCAGTGTGCAATGGAATCCTATTTTCTACATCAACAGCATTAACATTGGCGCCTTTATTAACCAGAAACTGCACTATCTCCAAATGACCATTTTGGGATGCAGTGTGCAATGAAGTCCTATTAGTTTTAATAGCAGCATTGACATCAGCGCCTTTACTAATCAGAAACTGCGCTACCTGCAAGTGACCATTTTGAAATGCAAGGTGCAATGGAGTCCAATTTTCTACATCAACAGCATCAACATTGGCCTCTTTACTAACCAGAAACTGCACTATTCCAAATAACCATTTTGAGATGCAATGTGCAATGGAGTCCTGCCTTTCACATCAACAGTATTAACATTGGCGCCTTTACCAATCAGAAACTGCACAACCTGCAAGTGACCATTTTCAGTTGCAATGTACAATGGTGTCCGTTGTTGATCATCGATAGCTTCTATATTTGCTCCTCTATGGATCAATATGTTTACTACATGTAGATATCCATTCATAGAGGCGTAATGGAGTGGCGTCAACTTGTCCTTACTTACGGCATCTAATTTGGCACCAGGGCCTATTAAGTATCGAGCCCATGCTAATTCTGCGTCAGGTGGCGCAACGTGCAAAGACGACCAATTCTTGTTACCTATATGGATTCTTTTAGCACTTTTGTCCCATAAAGGTGGAGACGCTAATCGTTTTCTACTATTGATTGCAGGATTTGTATCCTTTTTGTCAACTTTTGTTATTTTGTGCTCTTCAATTTGCCCCAAATACAAAATTTAATAAATGTGTAGAAAGTTATAATCATGATAATTTAAGATAAGGTTACTTTAAATTTTACCTGTAACTATTCGAGATGGTCCCGGTTGGTTAGATATATCGACCTGGAGATTGTTTTTCAAAATTCCTATTCGAATTGCCAATTTCCTAACAATATCCAGAAATGTTTCACCTTCTTTGTTGACAACATCGCTGGTTGCTCCTGCTTTGAGGAGCAAGTGCATTAGTCGATCATAGTTCTTTTTGGCACCAACGTGTAGGGCAGTGTCACCATCCTCGTTCTGCGCATTTATATTCAATCCCCACTTTTTCAATAATAGTTTCTGGACGATTTCATACCTGTTTTCTTCCACTGCACAATGCAGGGGTGTATTGTTTTTATTGGTATCATCGACAATGTTTATTAATTGAACACTGCAGGAGTTGAGTAAACCTTGCACTTTGGGCAAATCGTTATCTCTGATGGCCTGGAAGATTTCCTTATGATGCACTTCTTCAGTGGATGTAGGCAGATTATTTGCCATTGTATATGCAAAAAGACTAACTTATATTTACAGTACAAACACTCACTTAAAAAATTATCAACTATTCTTGCTCATTTGACTTAGCTCAATGTGAAAAGTACAATACAATTATATATCTAACAAATTTATCAGTATCATATCAGTTGCAAATTGTCGATTGATAAAGGAAATCAAGCCAGTGCTGGTCAACATGCGGTGATAATGGAGTCAAATAATTAGTGGTTAGGGTATTTTTGCTTTATAACTAGATTTATCTTCATTGTGTATTTGTGAATTTTTAGCAACGCCATAAGTTAAAAACACGATTAGATGTACAACCACTCCACACGCGCTGTTTTTGGCCAATTTGTTTTGCAAAACTAGTACGCACTATCAATATTAATTTTAATAGAATTATTATTGATACTGTTAAATAGTTATTAAAATGCAATGCAATGTGTAATTCTAAATGGCGAGAACTCTTTTTATATTTTTAATGCATTTTTTAAATATTTCAAAAATTATAAATGATAAAATCTTGAAAATGATTAACTTATCTGTATTTTTTTGATATTATGATATCTGATAATATTATCTGAAACAGATAATTCTATTTTTTTGCTTTTCCAAAGAATAATTTTTAATCAATTTGCAAACTTGTCGTAGGGTAAGTTATAGAGATTGCAAAAAATCGAAAATAAAAGTTTTTGTTTGTCTTTAAGTGTGAAGACGTGCTGATTAGTAATTAGTGAAAATTGTACCAACAATCAGGTTTTGTTGAAACCCTCTAGGAATATATTGGTTATTCTAGTATTATTATTTTAATACTACATTATATTGTTCTGACATATGTAGGTTATTATAAATGTTTGAGAAGCTAACTAAATTTTTCTTAAAATTGTGTTTCTAAAAATATATGTAGTGATAACAAAATTTTGTAAAATCTACCCTTTAACATGTAACATCAAAGTTTTTAGGTATTACCAATAATCAAGAATTATGGATTATAAATAATTTTAATATTAATTCATTATTATTTAAAAAATACAATATTTTGAAATAGGCTACCTGTATACCTATCTACCAGTTTTTCAGTCTACCTGTCTTTTAGTCCTCATTTTTACTATTCTACCTATATATCTATCTATGTGCTTATTTATCTTCCTCAACCACTCTAGGTATCTATCTACCTGTCCACCTATTTATCTGTCTAACCTGTGTATATATATATTTACACACATTAAACACTTATCAATTTTAGTATTTGTTACTATAGTAGACACTAGGGAATGCAATACCGGTTATACCGAATTACCGGTAAACCGCCCAATTTTTCGGCGGTATTTTTACAGGTATTTACCCCAAAAATACCGGTATTTTCGGTATTTTTACATAAGCGCTATTTGATACATAATACACTAAAGTTTAAATTTCTCGGAACAAATTTATCGTTAAATTCTATAATCGCATAAACAGCTATATCTTCAAGTGATTCTATAGGATAAACAAGTGTCAAATATTATCTCAACTCGTCATTAAATTGAATATTTATTGCTTTACTAAAGGATTCATTTATATCGTGTTACAATAAATAGAATTGGACTGATAGATAATGATGTTTGTTTCATCTTATGTAAAAATGTAACGGTTTCTTAAGTGATATTTGCGCCAAAATATTTTATATAATACAGATTACCCCTGCGTAATCTTTATTATTTTCTAACTTTATACATAATAATTATGATATTTACTAAATATTTTTGCTTCTTATTACAATTATAAAATATTATTTTTCGAAAATGTTTTCAAGTTTGAAAATACTATAGAAGCATCACATTGTTTTAAATAACAATACTCAACAATTATAGTAACTTATTATTTATCTCGACAAAGTATCCGATATGAAATTAGTGTAGAAAAATTATTTTTTTAAAATACTGGAGATTACGCTAAATTAACACATAGAACACAGGCAATACAGTTTATTATAATAATGTAATATGATCTTTCATAAGTTTTTGGCCTAGCTTACTAATGAGTTTGTTTTTGGTGAAAAGTACTCAATATCGAGTATATATAGTGATAATGAATTAATTAAATTGGATATAATTTTGTTAAATTATTATTGAAAAAAAAAATAAACTCATTGTTTTATTTTATTGTTTTTATTGTTTTGTTGAATATAGTTGTAGTTGTATATACTTTTTTTGTATTTGTACTAGTAACTTTTAATTTTGTTCACATCTGTTTAAGATAATAAAAATACCGGTAATTCACCGGTATTCCGGTTTTAAAATGAAAAATTACCGAAATACCGTTATTGAAATTTTCCATTGGTATTGCATTCCCTAGTAGACACACTTAAGTGAAATATATTAAATATTCAATATTCTACAGCAATTAAAACTATTTTTGGAAATATTCCAAATTTACTCATTGTTATATGGGACTCGGAGAGCTAATAGTTACCTGTAAGTTTTGGCTCTGTAACTTTTAAACCATTCGATTGTTATGAATGATGTATTTGAGAAATTTGTGCATAATTAATCTGTCTTTGTTATTGTCTTTGATGACCTGCAGCAACTCGGTATACTCTAAAATCGTTTTGGAAGTAGACATGATCTTCGATTTAGTAGCTTGAATTTGAACAAAACATTTTAGTTTCATAATTTTTATTATCATATCGTATAAAATATTTATTAACTTTTATACATCATTAAAAAGCTACTAAAATTTACTATTATCTTACAAATTTATAAATGTATATTGCTTTAGTAAAATTTTGTGAATAATGGAATATTGGTGCATTTATTTCTCATATCTCATGTAATAGATACAAGAGATATGTCTCATATCTCTTGTAACATTTAAACCATTCGATTAATATGAATGGTGCTTTTAGGAAATTAGTTGAAAATTAAATTATCTACAATATTGTCTTATATAAAACAAACCTGAGATTAAAATTTTATTATGTTTTGATTTTGCAAAAAGAAAGTTTTTGCAAACGATCATATTTTACGCCTGGTACAAGTTACAAATAATTTGCTGAAATGTAAATTTGAAAGAAGTCGAATCAGGCTTTAAAAATATATATATATATATATATATATATATATATATATATATATAACTTATAAGCTAATTCAATTGGTGTTCCAAAATATACTTAAGAATTAAAAATTACTTTGCAACCAAGATCTTACTTCAGAAATTGCTAAAAATTACGCCATAATATTATTAAGGCAGTCTTAAATTACACATTCATATTTTTATATATTAAGAAAAAGACCATTAAACCACCTAAAATTTTTGTGTATACAAATTTTGATGTCTGGTATAAATTTTTTAGCAAAAACTCGTACTTGAATATTATAAAAAATTCTGTTATACTTGTATATTTCGTCATTATTATTAAAATACTACAATATTTAGTTCTGAAATACACAGGTTGTTATAAATCTTTGAAAAGTTCAGTAATTTGGTTATGACACAACATTTTACTATACTATATACGTTTTTATACCACTATTTTGTAAAAGTTAGGTTCAAGCATGTAACTAAATATTATTTGGATGAGTTCTTTAATTTTGTAATAAGTTGACGATTTCCATGTGCCCTTTTTTGTAGGCAACGTTTATTGGGGTCTTGTTATTTAAATTTACTATATTAGTGTTTGCACCTTTGTCCATCAATGCTTTGACTATATTTTTGTGACCATAATAGGCGGCAATGTGCAGAGGAGTCCAATTTCTTTGATCGACAGCATTGACATTCGCATCTTTACTAACCAGAAATTGCACTATCTCCAAATGACCATTTTCAGATGCAATGTGTAATACAGTCCAATTTTTCTCAAGAATAGCATTGACATCAGCGCCTTCACTAATCAGAAACTGCACTACTTCCAAATGACCATTTTGACATGCAAAGTGCAATGGAGTCCCATTTCTTTCATTAACAGCATTGACATTAGCGCCTTCACTAACTAGAAACTGCACTATCTCCAAATGACCATTTTGAGATGCAATGTGCAATGCAGTCCAATTTTCAACATCAACAGCATTAATATTGGCGCCTTCACTAACCAGTAACTGCACTATCTCTAAATGACCATTTTGAGATGCAATGTGCAATGGAGTCCAGTTTTCTACATTATCAGCATTAACATTGGCGCCTTTACTAACCAGAAACTGCACTACTTCCAAGTGACCATCTTGAGATGCAAGGTGCAATGGAGTCCAATTTTCTACAATATCAGCATTAACATTGGCGCCTTTACTAACCAGAAACTGCACTATCTCTAAATGACCATTTCGAGATGCAATGTGCAATGGAGTCCAATTTCTATCATTGGTGTCATTGACATTGGCGCCTTTACTAATCATAAACTGCACTACATCCAAGTGACCATTTTGAGATGCATTGTGCAATGGAGTCCAATTTTTGTTATTAACAGCATTGATATCAGCGCCTTTACTAATCAGAAACTGCACTATCTCCAAATGACCATTTTGAGCTGCGACATACAATGGTGTCCGTTCTTGATCATCGATAGCCTCAATATTCGCGTTTTTGTCGACCAATAGTTGAACTACATCTTTGAATCCATTCATAGCTGCGCAATGGAGTGGCGTCAACTTTGTCCTTACTTACGGCATCTATTTTGGCACCAAGGCCTACCAAGTATCGAACCCTTGCTAGTTCTCCGTTGTGTGCCGCAACGTGCAAAGACGACCAATTCTTGTTAGCTATATTGTTTATTTTAGCATTCTTGTCCAATAAATGTGGAGACGCTAATTGTTTTTTATTATCGACTGCAAGATTTGTATCTTTTTTGTCAACTTTTGTTATTTTGTGCTCCTCACTTTGCCCTAAACACAAAATTTATTGAATGTGTAGAAAATTATAATCATGATAAGTCAAGATAAGGTCACTTTAGATTTTACCTGTAACTATTCGAGATGATCCCGGTTGGTTAGATATATCTACCTGGTAGTTGTTTTTGCAGATTCTTGTTCGAATTGCCAATATCCTTACGATATCCAAAAATGTTTCACCTTCGTTGTTGACAACATCACTGGTTGCTCCTGCTTTGAGGAGCAAGTGTATCAGTCGATCATAGTTTTTTTTGGCACCAACGTGTAGGGCAGTGTCACCATCCTCGTTCTGCGCATTTATATTTAATCCCCACTTTTTCAATAATAGTTCCTGGACTATATCATGCCTGTTTTCTTCCACTGCACAATGCAGGAGCGTATTGTTTTTATTGGTATCATCGACAATATTAATTAATTGAACACTGCAGGAGTTGAGTAAACCTTGGACTTTTTGCAAATCGTTATCTCTGATGGCTTGGAAAATTTCGTCGTGTTGCACTATTTTAGTATATGTTGGCAGATTATTGGTCATTGTTGATGCAAAACACAAACTTACATTAATAGTTCAAACACTCACTTAAAAAATTATCAACTAGCAATGTGAAAAATACAATGCAATTACAATACATATATAACAAATTTATCGTTATCATATCAGTTGCAAATTGTCGATTGATAACCGTAATCAAACCAGTGCTGGACAACATGCGGCAATAATAGAGTAGAATTATCAATGATAACAGTGTTTAAAAGTAGCTATGTCTTGTAGTAAAAAATTGACAACATTTTTGCGAAAAAATTAACATTTGGTGATCTGAAATGATCATTACAAACTATTATTATTGTTCATAAACATGTAGGAATATTGATACTCAGATGACAGATAGGCAGTTGGGTATGTAGACATGTGAACAGCTAGACAGGTAGACAAGTAGACAAGCTGCAAAATAGTCAGATAGACAGGCACGCAGGTAGACATCTAGAAAGATAAATATACAGATAAGCTGACTCTCCGATAAGTAGACACTCATTTATAATAATTTATTTCTATCGTAGTTTTGACAATTATTAACTTCCCGAAGAAGAAGTTTATGTTTTCATCAAAAAATCCGATTCGCTAATTTTGTTTTCTCGACGTTTCAAGCCATTCTGAATCGAATGAGACCAAATGTAGAAAAAGTATGTGTGTGCGTGTGTGTGTGAACAGATTTTTTGCCGTAAATCGAAGTTTTCTCAAAAACGGCTGGACCGATTTCAAAAATTTAAAAGCCATTCGATGTATCTTGATGAGGACTATTTTTTTTTAGTTTTGTGCGATCGGCTAGTTTCTTTCTTTATAAATCGCAGAAAAGTGAAAAAATTTTCCTCTACGTTTTAGCCCGCAATTCTGAATCGATTTTGAAAAATCAAAAACTGTTCGAAAGATATTAGTTGGAAATGATACTGATTAGTTTTAGATGAAAATCTACCGAGTCGTTTTCTTATAATTAACTGTTGAAAAAAAAATTTAGTCGATTTTTATGGAACTTTTTTGGCGATGTATATCATGGTCTTATAGAACTTACTGAAATATCACGGCCTTACGACATGCAGTTTAATTTTGAAAATTCATCAAAATTTGAGAAAATGAGTAGTTTTTTTGACGCTTGCTAAAATCAAAATTAGACGATTTACTTGGTATAACGATAGAGTACTTGGTCTTAATAAACATACTAAACCATTAAAGTCCTACGGAAACTGGTTCAATTATAAAAATGGTTGATTTTTGAAAATTTGACCTTAGAAAATATTTCGAATTAATGTGGTTGTTCGTTTTCATACTTAAATCGTTCATAAATTAATTTATTTTTTATTGATTAAGTCGATTATTTACACATATCGGGAAGTTTATGTAACTTGCCTCAAGGCAAAATACCAATACCAACTAGTTTAATATCGCATTACTAGAGAGTATCTATAATATTATTGATTTTTTATTACATTAAATATTCATTTATAGATCACACTGAATTCGATGTTCACCGACTCCTTGGACGTCGTTTGATCGATTATTGGACACAATCTATTCACATTAATTGTAAGGAAACTTATCACTAATTTAGGTGTTTATTGCTAAACCTATTTCTGTACAAACAATTTTGAAAATATAAGCATTTTATTCCTGCAAAAAGTGCAAAATGATCGAATTTCAGGCTAAAAAGTATTTGCAAGCATTTATTAATCGAAAGAATATAAGCTGAACCGTTTTATTAAATTCTTTTAATTTTAAACACATTGTGATACAATACAATAAAAATGGTTAGTTTCTGAATACTATTCAAAAAATTTATTTAATTTTGCAATAGTTCGACGATTTCCTTGTGCCCTGCCTCGTATGCAAGGTCTATTGGGGTCTTGTTATTGAGATCTACTACATTAGTGTTTGCACCTTTGTCCATCAACGCTTTGACTATATTTTGGTGACCAATATAAGCTGCAGAGTGCAATGGAGTCCATTGTTTTTCATTAGCAGTATTGAGATTGGCTCCTTTACTAATCAAATGCTGCACTACATTCAAGCGACCATTTTGTGTGGCAAGGTACAATGAAGTCCGATTTCCTTTAACAACAGCATTGACATCAGCGCCTTTACTAATCAGAAACTTCACTTCTTCCAAGTTATCATTTTGTATTGCAAAGTGCAATGGAGTCCAATTTTCTCTATCAAAAGCATTAACATTGGCGCCTTTACTTACCAGAAACTGCACTACTTCCAAGTGATTATCTTGAGATGCAATGTGCAATGGAGTCCAATTTGTTTTATTAACAGCATTGACATCAGCGCCTTTACTGATCAGAAACTGCACTATCTCCAAATGACCATTTTCAGATGCAATGTGCAATGGAGTACAATTTTCTACGGCAACAGCATTGACATCAACGCCTTCACTAACCAAAAACTGTACTACCTCCAAATGACCATTTTCAGATGCAATGTGCAATGGAGTACAATTTTCTACGGCAACAGCATTGACATCAACACCTTCACTAACCAAAAACTGTACTACCTCCAAATGGCCATTTTCAGATGCAATGTGCAATGCAGTCCAATTTTTCTCAAGAATAGCATTGACATCAACGCCTTCACGAACCAAAAACTGTACTACCTCCAAATGACCATTTTGAGATGCAATGTGCAATGCAGTCCAATTTTTTACATTAAGTGCATTAATACTGGCGCCCTTACTAACCAGAAACTGCACAATATCCAATTGACCATTCTGTGCTGCAACATACAATGGCGTTCGTTCTTGATCATCGTTAGCCTCAATATTCGCGCCTTTCTCGACCAATAGTTGAACTACATCTTTGAATCCATTCATAGCTGCGCAATGGAGTGGCGTCAACTTGTCCTAACTTTCGGCATCTATTTTGGCACCAAGGCCTACCAAATATCGAACCCTTGCTAATTCTCCGTTGTATGCCGCGACATGCAAAGGCGACCAATTCTTGTTAGCTATATGGTTTATTTTAGCATTTCTACCCAATAAAGGTGGACTTACTAATCGTTTTTTATTATCGATTGCAGGATTTGTAACTTTTTTGTCAACTTTTGTTATTTTGTGCACCACGCTCTGCCCTAAATACGAAATTTATTAAATGTGTAGAAAGCTATGACAATTCAAGATAAGGTCACTTTATTTTGTACCTGTAACTATTTCAGATGGTCCTTGTTGGTTAGATATATCTTTACTCTTCTTCACCTGGTGGTTGCTTTTGCAGATTCTTGTTCGAATTGCCAATTTCCTAACAATATCCAGAAATGTTTCGCCCTCCTTGTTGACAACATCGCTGGTTGCTCCTTCTTTGAGCAACAAGTGCATCAGTCGATCATAGTTCTTTTTGGCGCCAACGTGTAGAGCAGTGTCACCATCCTCATTCTTCGCATTTATATTCAATTCCCACTTTCTCAATAGTATTGCCTGGACTATTTCATATCTGTTTTCTTCAACTGCACTATGCAGGGGTGTATTGTTTTTATTGGTTTCATCGACAATATTAATCAATTGAATACTGCAGGAGTTGAGTAAATCTTGGAATTTTTGCAAATTGTTATCTCTGATGGCCTGAAATATTTCCTCATGTTGCACTTTTTCAGTGGATGTAGGCAGATTATTTCCCATTGTTGATGCAAAAAGACTAACTTATATTAACAGTAAAACACTCACTTAAAAAATTATCAACTATTCTTGCTTATTTGATTCAGTGCAATGTGAAAAGTACAATACAACTATATATCTAACATCGATATCATATCAATTGCAAATTGTTGATTGATAAAAGTAATCAAGCCAGTGCTGGCCAACATGCGAAAATAATAGAATTAAATTATCAGTAATGATCATGGTGCTCTTGTTCTTAAACTTGCTATATTTTCAATGTATTATTAAAATTATCAAAGTTAAAAAAAAAACATTTGGTGGTCTGAATATTACTATTATTGTTGATTCATAAACATATAAAATATTGATACTAGGATGACAAATAGACAGTTGGATGAGTAGACATGTAAACTGCTAGACTGGTAGACAAGCTGCAACATAGTCTGACAGATACGCAAGTAGAGATCTAGAGAAATAAATATACAGAAAAACGGGTGAACGGATAGGCTGGTACAAAAGTAGATCAGCTGACTTTTAGACAAGTAGACACTCATTTATAATAAAATATTTTTATTGCAGTTTTGACAATTATTTAGTATCGTTTTACTAGAGAGTATATATAATAATATTTATTGTTTAATATATAAAATGTTTTGATGTTCACTCATCCTATCAACTAGATCACCCGGAATTCGATGTTCACCGACTACTTGTTCGTCGTTTGATCGATTATTGGACACAATATATTTATATCAACTATATAAAACTCATCACTAAATCAAGTGTGCACTGCTAAATGTATTTCTGTACAAACAATTCTAAAAATATAAGCGTTCTGTCTCTGCAAAAAGTGCAAACACGATGAAATTTCAGGCTGAAACGTATTTGCAGACATTTATTAATTGAAGGAATATAAACTAAACTGTTCTATTAAATTATTTTAATTTTAATCACATTGTGATACAATACAATACAATAAAAATGGTTAGTTTCTGAATATTACTCAAAGATTTTGTTTAATTTTGCAATAGTTCGACGATTTCCTTGTGCCCTGCTTCGTAGGCCAGATCTATTGGGGTCCTATTATTGAGATTTACTCCATTAGTGTTTGCCCCTTTGTCCATCAATACTTTGACTATATTTTTGTAACCATTATAAGCGGCAATGTGCAGACAAGTCCATTTTGTTTCATTGGCAGTATTGACATCAGCGCCTTTACTAATCAGTAACTGCACCACTTCTAAGTGATCATATTGAGATGCAATGTACAACGGAGTCTTATATGTTTTATTGACAGCATTGACATCAGCGCCGTTACTAATCAGAAACAGAGCAACCTCTGAATGACCGTTGCAAGATGCAATGTGCAATGGAGTCCAATTTGTTTCATTAACAGCATTAACATTTGCGCCTTTACTAACCAGAAACTGCACTATCTCCAAATGACCATTTTGAGATGCAATATGCAATGGAGTCCAATTTGTTTTATTAACAGCATTGACATCAGCGCCTTTACTAATCAGAAACTGCACTATCTCCAAATGACTATTTTGAGATGCAATGTGCAATAGAGTCTTTCCTTCAATAACAGCATTGACATTGGCGCCTCTAGTAACCAGAGTCTGCACAACCTCCAAGTGACCATTTTGAGTTGCGACATACAATGGTGTTTGTTGTTGATCATCGATAGCTTCAATATTTGCTCCTCTTTCGATCAATAGTTGAACTACATCTTGAAATCCATTCATAGAGGCGCAATGGAGTGGCGTTAACTTGTCCTTACTTTCGGCATCTATTTTGGCACCAAGACCTACCAAGTACCGAACCCTTGCTAATTCTCCGTTGTGTGCAGCAACGTGCAAGGACGACCAATTCTTGTTAGCTATATGGTTTATTTTAGCATTTCTTCCCAATAAAGGTGGACTTACTAATCGTTTTTTATTATCGACTGCAGGATTTGTATCTTTTTTGTCATCTTTTGTAATTTTATGCTCCTCACTTTGCCCTAAACACAAAATTTAATAAATGTGTGAAAAGTTGTAATCATGATAATTCAAGATAAGATCACTTTACATTTTACCTGTAACTATTCGGGATGATCCCGATTGGTTAGATATATCTACACTTTTCTCAATCTGTTGGTTGCTTTTGCAGATTCCTGTTCGAATTGCCAATTTCCTAACGATATCCAGAAATGTTTCACCTTCCTTGTTGACAACATAGCTGGCTGCTCCTTCTTTGAGGAGCAAGTGCATCACTCGATCATCGTTCTTTTTGGCGCCAACGTGTAGGGCAGTGTCTCCATCCTCATTCTTCGCATCTATATCCAATTCCCACTTTCTCAATAATAAGGCATGAACAATTTCATACCTGTTTTCTTCAACTGCACTATGCAGGGGTGTATTGTTTTTATTGGTATCATCGACAATATTTGATAATAAAACACTGCAGGAACTGAGTAAACTTTGGACTTTTAGCAAATCATTATCTCTGATGGCTTGGAAAATTTCGTTGTGTTGCACTTTTTTAGTGGATGTTGGCAGATTATTGGTCATTGTTGATGCAAAATACTTACTTAAGTTTACAGTACAAGCACTCACTTAAACAAAAATATCAACTAGTCTTGCTCATTTGATTTGCAATATGAAAAGCACAATACAACTATATATCTAACATCGTTATAATATCAGTTGCAAATTGCCGATTGATAAAAGTAATCAAGCCAGTGCTAGCCAACATGCGAAAATAATAGAATGTAATTATCAGTGATGATCATGTTCTTGTTCTAAATCTTGCTATGTTTTCAATGTATTATTAAAATTAACAAAGTTTAAAAAAACATTTGGTGGTCTGAATATTACTATTATTATTGATTCATAAACATATAGAAATATTGATACCAGGATGACAAATAGATAGTTGGATAAGTAGACATGTGTACTGCTAAACTGGTAGACAATCTGCAAAATAGTTTGACAGGTACGCAAGTAGACATCTAAAAAAGTAGCTGGTACAAAAGTAGATAAGCTGACTCTCAGACAGGTCGACACCTATTTATAATAATAAATTTTTAATGCAGTCTTGACAATTATTTAGAATCGTATTACTAGAGAGTATTTATAATATTATTAATTTTTTATTACATTAAATATTTTAATGTTCACTCGTCCTATCATCGAGATCACCCTGCTGACCATTTTTTGTTAGCTATATGGCTTATTTTAGCATTCTTGTCTAACAAAAGTGGATATACCAATTGTTTTTTATTATTGACTGCAGGATTTGCAGCTATTTTATCAACATTTATTACTTTCGGCTTCTCATTTTGCCCTAAAAACGAAATTTAGTAAATGTGTAGAAAGTTGTAATCATGACAGGAATTCAATATAAAGGTATACTTATTTTACTCCCAATGGATGTTGGCAGATTACTTGCCATTGTGGATGCAAAACTCTTATGTTTACATTACAAACTCTTACTTAAAAAAATTATCAACTAGTTTTGTCCATTCGAATTTACACAATGTGACAAGTACACATTTAAATGTATATCTAACTATCTAAGCCAGAGCTGGACCGTAACGGAATTGTATTATCAGTGATGGCCAAAGTTTCCTTGTTTTAAATCTAGATATGCCTTTACTGTGTAATTATATGATAAAACTTTCTTTCATACATGAAGGATCAAAAATGTCATTTTTTCATTATTCTTCAAATTTTCAAAAATTTTGTACAAGAATATAAAAAGCGTTATATGTATATTTATAAAGCTTATTAAATTTTGCATGAAATTGCTTTTTTAGAAATATACAGTTTCGTAACAAAAAATTACAACAAATGGCATCATACTAATAGATTTAGTCTTTTCAACAAGTGACACCTTCAAGATGTTTTTACTATTATTGAAATATTGAGTAAATTTGTAGTATCGCGTATCAACTATTATATATATTTAGATTTCCATTAAATTCTGCACAAAACTGCATTTTTGAAATACACATTGTTCTAACAAAATTTTGTAATGTTTAGCTTCAAACTCAAAAAAAATCTTCCTAACAACCTTCTAATTAACCTATTAATTTATTTACAACAATATATTTATATATAACAAATGTAACAGATTACACGAATCGAATCTATAAACAACAATGTAACAAATGTCCTTTTTATTTAAACAAATTAACTATTTATTTATAAACTATTTAGTATTCTAAAATCATCTTCTTGAGAGAATCCGTTGCGTGATTTTCTTCGGCGTGTCGAAATGGATTCTTTATGGCCTCAATTACGCATTTGTACGCATTACGGAATAAAAGATTTGTTATTATATAAATAAACAATTTGAAATTGTTATAAACACATATATATGTATATATATATACATATATACATACATATTTAAATATATATATATATATATATACTAGATGACCCGACAGACGTTGTCCTGTACCCACATCTACGTTTTTCAATATCCTATACTAATATTTACACCGTTCAGTTAAAAATAATAATTATTGTTTTTTGAATTACTATTTGCACAAATATGAGTGATGTTAAATGTAGAACAGCTTCAAATAAAATTATGATTTTCAATTCCCACAGTTGCACGTTAATTATCCCTTTAACAAATATTAAAATATGTTCAATAAAATTGAATATCAAAAATTAAACACTGCAATTAATAGAACAAATTTATTTCCAATAGCTCAATTTATTTAAATGCCAAGGGTTATACAATTTTCCAGTCATACCTGTAGATGTGGATGTATAAATGAATGATTTTTTATTTATTCACGACTAAAACATTGATTTTCCAAATTTATCACACAAAAAATCGTCTGCATTTGTGATTTATAGCATAAGATATACATATTGGAAATTGAAGTCTTTTAAGGTATAACATATTCAGAAAGAATTAATATATAGCATTCGCGGTATAGGTACAATTATCACCTTGGACTTTTCTACCCAAAATAATTGCTTTAATAGTGTTGCCTATTATTTTTATAATTTCGTACCATATTTTAGCTGGCTTTCAGTAATTTTAATATCTAAATTACATTTTTCTCATCAATAATTCAATATACATTATTATTTGTGTTCATATTTGAAGTGAATTAATTCACCAAATCCTGTTCACATGTGCTCTATTCAACCTACGATCAACAAAATTATTGCAGTAAATAGAGAGGAAAAAAGCGTGTGCTTTGCGAATTTTTTTACTGTGCTCCAATTTGCCTGATATTTTGGAAATAGACTAATCTTAATCTTAGTTCAGAAGTGAAAACAATTTGCACTCTTTCACCACCCCCGGCATTAATTGGATTATAACTCTTTTAATTCCGATTTTATCAGTACTTGCAATACACTATTTTAATGGTAATTAAATGACCTACAACTTTATCTATCATAAATTTTACCGTAACTTCTCTTATTTTGAAATGGCGAAGGATTGAAGGACTCGAAAGGCATTCTGGTTGGACACTATCAATATTTGTGTAACAGAAAAATAATAAAAAGCAATAATTATTCAGTAAAATACTTTGCATTTTCATTTATATACCTTTATACGTATCATTTCTTTTTTTAAATAGATTTCTTTTCATGAAATTATGAGCTTTTTGGAAATCGTTTGTACTAAAGTTGTATTTTCTAGAATCCATCAACATCTCGTAAACCAAGTTAATTCTAGATGGAATACGATTATTTTCAATTTTGGTGGAAATGGCACTCATAAACTATTTGATTTAAATGAAAAAAAAAACATTGCAAGCGTCTTTTATCTGCATTATATCTCACTCATTTTACACGCAGAAGTACTTATTTTAAAGCTTATTTTGAGCACTATAAAACTCCATTTTCATATCTAACCTAATATTGTTTCTAGAACTATTTACAGAACAGCGATTTAATAAGATTTTAATTGATTTAATTTTGGTCATTTCATTATTTTGTTAAAATGTATATTTCTGAAGATATAAGCAAACAACGCTTTAATTATTTTTTTAACATTTAGTTAAAAAATAATAATCTGTCAAATTGAATTTTAATATAGGGTATGTAATTACATTGAACTGATATTTCACAACCGTGAGACGCATGCGCAGAACTGCATCACTTGTCAGACGCATGTTGACTCTATTTTATTATATTATTTTAATTTTGGCACATCTCAGCTGCTTTTCAGCAATAATAATGTAGACATTAGATTTTCCTTATTTATAGTCATGAATTTATTATATTTTAATATTGCCTTAGCCTATAAGTGAATAGAAATGCTTGGCAAATAACAGTCTTCTTTTGTTTTTAATGTCAAACTATGCCTTAAATATTTTCAAGGGCAAACAATGATAAGCGGTTTTTTGTAATTTATTCTATTTATTTCTACAATCTAACTATATTTCTATAAATCTAAAAATTCTAGAAAATTTTCCGAACAAACTTCAGAAAGATTCATGAAAATCCGAATTATGGTTTAGGAGGATTAATCATTCATACATAGTTACAGAAGAATTTTATATATGATATACATATATATATATATATATATATATATATATATATTTATATAAGGATTTGGTACACGTTCATGGTGTGTTTTAAGCGTAACACGTTTTTAGATTTAGGTTTGGAGGTTTTGTAAAATTTTATTATCGCAAGGTGTATTTATAAAAATGTAAGAAAGTACAGAATTTAATAAGCTTTTTTAAGACATATAATAGTGCTAGAATTAAATTAAGCATATTTTTGAAGAAATATGAAAAATGTCCTGGTTGTTTAGATAAGTTTTAAGGGAAGCTTAATGTTTTTGGTCTCATTCGATTCAGAATAACTTGAAACATCAAAAAAACATAAAATTAGCAAATCAGATTCTTTATATTAAACATAAATGGGAAATCAGCAATAAGTAGTCAATCTTTTACCTCCGGCCCTGTGTTAAAGTTCAAAGAGCCCAGTTGGTCAATTATGCGAATATTTAACTGAAGATGGAAGAGATTATCATCTCGAAAAGAAAGCAAGGAACTCATCTATTCATTTCTTGGACTATTCATGTGAAATGTACTATCACTTTTCTTCGACATTACCATCTTAAGATTTAATTATATACGAAATGGTAAGGCGATTGCATCAGATCTAAGGTGAGAACAGGTGAGATCATGATTACTGGACCTTTGTTCAAGCCTTGAGAAAGGGTTTTGATAAAGAAATTCACATATAATAAAAAATATACAACGGAATCACCAATTGAGAATCAAAATATGTATCTCCACTTTTTTTACTAATTTATTTAATTAAATTTGAATATATTTGTAAATTTTTATTGGTGATTTATATATGTTTGAAAAGCTTATAAAATTTACTACAATGCACATATTTTTAAATATACATATACAAACTACAAAGTGTCACATTAGAACTTATCTAACATCTAGCATTTCTTTAGTATTTAACAAATATTTTACCTTTTTGTTCAATTAGTAATGATTGGGAGAAGTGTTTATTAGTTTTTGGCAAAGGTAGGCCCAGCCATTTGTAAAAAATTTCTAAATATGTAAAAAATGGCAGTTTTTGAGGGAACTAAACGTTCGATTTGAATGATTCAAAGAACTTTCTGCTTGTCTTAACAAAATAATTGATTTTGGAAAAAAAATTTTGCTTAATTTTTTTTTTCTTTTTTTATTTTTTGTATATCGAAAATAATTCAGATTTTATTTTTAATTCTGACTATAGTTCTAATATACTTTAAACAAATAATTTCAACTTTGCAATTCAGTTTATATAATACTTATAAATATTAGACAATGTTACAATATTTATAATAATTTATTTGAAAACATTCAGTATTCCTCGAACATTTCGGTACGGTACGGGAAGTTCCAGCAATTTGCCTTAAGGCACGATGCCACCCACCCCACTAGTATTAATAGCAATTGAAATGGTTTGTCATTAATTGTCATTGGTTCTTCATTTTTTATTATTATATTTTTATGACATAATTAATAACTTTTATACATTCTCAAAAAGCTTGTAATATGTACTATATTTTTGTACATACATGAACATATATTGATATATAATTTTTTTCACAAATCCATGCTAAACAAGAAAAACTTATCTAAACATCTTAGACATTTTTTTTACTATTTTTGAAATATTTTAATAATTTACTTAAACAAGCCAATATATATTTTTGAAAAGCTTATTAAATTCTGCAAAAAACTGCATTTTCAAAAATATACCATTTCATATTTTTTTTTGCAAAATTTTGCTCCAAACAATAAAAAGCTTATGCACCTACACGTGTATAACTTCCTATGCTTGCAAAATTATTCCAAGAATATCAATTATATCAATCTTAATTAAAGTGCTCTATTAAATAATAGTATTTTAATTACTAATTAATACTAAGATTCGTAGAAATATAAAAATTTAATTAAATTCCTGGTTTTGATATAAAAACTTTCAAACCTTTGCACCAAAGTGAGTGCCATCATCAATATTCGTTTTATATAATATACTGTCTTGCTATTAAATCCTTTATCAATTATCTTTAACAATCTTATTAATTTTTAACTATCTTATTTACTATCTTATTATATTAAATAATTTAACAGTTTGTTTAGAATGTGAGAATCTGCTTAGATTGCACATGGGATGTATCAGGAAGTTTACATTAGAAAGGAGATGCGGACATTCATCGGACATAAATATCATTTTGGAGGAAGATATAAGTCTTTTCCTTCAAAACAGGACCGAACCGGGTAATAGATATTTTGGTTTAAATTTAAAAAATCAGTGCTGGCCAATAGCGCGCGTTGAGGGGCCTGAAACGTGATCCAAATGTAATACATAGAATTTGTAGTAAATGGTGTAAGACTGCTAGGTTTGTTGAGATTGAACTAGTTGTAGAATTTTTTGGTATTAGACAATATTATAGACGAGTGAATTTTACATAAAATTGTCGAATAAATCATATAAATTAAACAAACCGTTCAAAAGGTACAAGAGATTTACCAAAAATCCACCAACAAAACTTGCACCTGCACTCTATGTACTACAGCTGTATTTACAGTCCCCAAGTCCGACCCTGTGTCGTGATTTATGTAGGAATATTTATTCGAAGAACCAGTTTTGTTATCCGTTAGATAATTATTTAACCGAGGTCGTGTACTGAAGAAGAAGTACATTTAGTTCCTCAAGATAGCCATCGTGTGCCCACAAGAAGAAATAAACTTTCGATTTCGTTTCATGGAAATTGTTGGATGAAATGGATTCTTATAAGATTGGAAACAGAATCTTGTTAAATCTTATTTAATAGTGAAAAATCTTATTAGATTTTATTTAAAAATATTTTTTTTAAATTTGGTAGATTTTGAGACTATCAATATGATATTTAAAACTAAATATGCAATTTGATGCAGAGTTTTATTAGCTATTTTATGATATATTAACATTTGCTTAGTATTAAATAAACTATGAAAGCTTAGTTCAAAAGCTTCGAAAAATTTTCTTGATTGATTTTGATGTTTACGTCTTGCAAATTCAATTGCCAATTTTATATATTTTTGCGGTTATAATATAATATTATTATATTTCTATTTTATGGAAAAGTTTCTTTTTTTCCCTTCATATTGATACATTATATAAATCAAATACTCTTTTCAAATATATTATTAGAAAATGATATAAAAGCTCTACAAATGTTCAATTTCATTATAGAAATTTCAGACGAGCTTTTGCATCTATTCTTTGAATTTGAATTTTAATCGTAAAATTTATGTAAATTTATAATATAATAGTATAATACTATTATGTAATAATTTTATCCAGGATTTTATCCTCTTTATTGCTATATATAAATGTAATAAGATTTTCTAATAAAAATTTAAAGATATTACATAAAAATAAAAATAAATATTCTACTTCCTCCATATAAATTTCTGTAGTTTGCAATTACTCTATAAATGTGAATTTCAATCGTAAAATTTATGCAATTTTAGTATAATCGTATTAAGAGAATTATATAACCATTTTATGTATAATTTTATTTACTTCTTGTGTTATATAGAATTACTTATATTTTTTAATTAAAATTAAGGGAAAACTCAGCAAAAGTACAGGAATGTCCAACTTGATTTCTGAATTCCTAGATTAGTTTACATTTTTTCTATAAAATTCAGTCCAAAATTTTGTGCAATTTTAATATAATCATATATCAACACTTCACCTAATCAAATAATCTCCATCTGCACAAGGTAATCTTTTTATTTTCTTTTCAAATATCTCATTATTTTCTTATTCTGTTCATAAATATTATTGTTACATTCTGCATTATATGTAATTTTATGTTAAGCATTTTATGTTTCTAACTATATATTGTAATTCTGTATATATTTTAATTGTTATTTATTATGTAAAATAAATGTATTTTTGAGTCCTCTTGGAGAAATCTGTGGGCTATATATTTAAATAAATAAATAAATAAATATCAAAATTGCACCAATTTATGAAAATATCTCGGGAATCACTGATATTCCACCAACACATACTTAACAATCCTTAAAACTTACAAAATTCTCTACAATTTTTCTTAACAAATTTTTTATACAAACAACTTCAAACAAAATATTTCTATCTAAACAACTAAGAAGCAAATGCTTAACATCTGCAAAAATAGTAGAATAGCATAATTTAACTTAAATTTTTTAGCAAATTTTTATAGTTTAGTACTTTTATGTAGATTTTCAATAGCATTTTTATTATATAAAATAATAAATATCGTTGTCAATAAATGCTAAGAAATATTTGTGAAAAAGTAATAAAAAATGCTCACTATTTGTACCTTTTTGCACATATTTTGGATACCACTATAAATCCACCTAGACGTTCCTAACAACTTCTGGAACTTATAAATTCTTTTACAACTTTGTTAAACAATATTTTTTAAACAACAACATAATAATCAAATATACAAGTGGTTGCATCCTAATAATATGCAGTATGCTTTTGTATCCTTCTGCAAATATCTTGGAAACCACTGTCACTCTTTTAATACCTCTTGAATAATTTTAAAAACTTATATAATTAATTACTCTACACATTTTTTATAATGCATTTTCTGTATAAACATGCTCAACAACTCTATTGGTATCTAAACAAATCAATGTATCTCAATGCATTAGAATGTTTTTGTACCTTTCCCCAAATATCTTGAACACCACTGAAAATTTATCTTGGATACCACTGTAATTTCACCAAGACGTTCCTAACAACTTCTGAAACTTATTTAACTCCTTTACAACTTTGCTAAACAATATTTTTTAAACAACAACATGGTGAACAAAAAAATGAATGTTGTATCTCAGTATGCGTTGTGCTTTTGTATTCTTATGCAAACATCTTGGAAACCACTGTCACTTTTTTAATCCATCTGCAACCATTCAAGAAACTTATAAAAATTTTTTACACATTTTAGATTACATTTTCTGTATAAACATGCTAAATAACAATACTGGAATCTAAACCAATTCATGTACCTCAATGCATTAGAATGTTTTTGTATCTTTTCGCAAATATCTTGAACACCACTGAGAATTTATCTTGGATACCACTTTAATTCCACCAAGACGTTCCTAACAACTTCTGAAACTTATTTAACTCCTTTACAACTTTGCTAAACTATATTTTTAAACAACAATATATTAATCAAATAAACAAGTTGTTTCATCCCAATATATGCAGTGTGATTTTGTGTCCTTTTGCAAAAATCTTGGAAACCACTGTCACTCTTTTAATACATCTTCAATAATTTTAAAAACCTATATAATCCTCTATACATTTTTTATATTGCATTTTCTGTATAAACATGCTAAACAGCAATATCGGTATCTAAACAACTCAATGCTTCAGAATGTTTTTGTACCTTTTCGCATATATCTTGAACACCACTGAAAATATATCAACACTTTCCTGATAAATTTTGAAACTTAAGCATATCTTAACATCTCTGCTGAATGATATTTGTCTACGAATATAGAAAACAATAACGTTGCTTACTAAACAAACAAATTTCTGTGACCTAATTCGCGGTGGGTATACATTTTTGTACTTTTAGCATAAAACTTGGATACCACTGAAATATTTTTGACAACGTTAAAAGCTTATGAAATGTTTGAA